ATTTAATTGGGTAACTCCCAATTAAATTGAGTAACTCCCAATTAGGTTGAGTAATTCCCAATTAGGTCAAATAATCCCCAAATTGAAGGAATTATTTGACCTAGGGTATGATTTAATTCGGTTCCCACAAATGCCCCCCAGCTTTTGCATGGCATGTGGTGGCATGTAGGAGATGTGAATTGTTTGTTGGGCTGTCCAGCTGTAACTGAGCTTCCTCCTTGGATTTGGGCTCCTGAATGGAGGAGGCTTTTGACTTGCCAACTGGTCTTTGACTTGGGTTGTCCAGCTATAACTGGGCTGGAGACAAGCTGGCCTGCTGCTGGAGCAGGTGGCAGTTTGGGTCGGCTTATTTGTGGTTGATCCAAACTACTTCAATTCCTTCTTATTTTTGTGTCACGAACTAGGAACAGTATGAGTCAAGGTGATCACGTGTGGAGCACGGACATGTTGGAAGTCAGCGGCAGACGGGTAGGGGAGGTTGGCGACGGTCCGCTCATTCCTCTCACCTACTGTGATGGTAAGTTGCATCCCTATGATCTGCTACAGTTGCCATGGAATTCTTTGCTGTGTGTTTGACTGACTTCTGTCTCATGCTTGTAGAAAATGACATCCACAAGAAGCTCAATCTCGGCTCGAACACGATCAATGTTCATCAAGCTTTAAACATCCTAGCCAGGTTCTGTGGATTGCGCTAGTTGCTGAGTGAACATCAGAAGGAGGCTGATGGTCTGCCCCCAGCCGAAGATGTTGAAAGGTGGGAGCTGCATGGCTCGGACCTAGATGATCTGCCAGTTGAGCGGGAGAAGTCCTCGACCAAGCTTCCTCATTCTTCCACGAGCAAGTCTTCCGTAAGGGGGTCTCGTTTGCTGGGAATGTCCCTATGGGAGTTGCTTCTTCATCTGCCAGGATCAAGCGCCTCGTCAGCACGAACAGTAAGAAGATCAATGGCATGCAGGAGGTCTGGGACATTCTGCTCAGGTATCCGCTCGAACTGCTTAAAACCCATGATCTACCCTGTGAGGAGGCTGTTGAGAAGCAGGGTTTGAGTTGCTTGTGCCGATCTTGGGATCGAACTGAGAGGACTGTATATTTATCTAGAAATCACGACTCGTCTGCAAAGCCACGAACAGTCAAGCACGGAGCTGACTCAATGTTGCGAGTTTCGGCCAAGAGAGCTAAAGAGTCGTCTGCTCGAGCAAAGAGTCCTTAAGTTGCGCGTCCTGCCGATCCAGAAGTTGGTGATAGCACCGCTGGTCAAGTTCGACACTCATGTTGAAGCCACGTAGGCATCCAAGCATGAGATCGCTGCTAATGCGTACAAGCTGGGATACTTGGATTGCAGGAATAGTGCTTCTCCTTGTTGCCTTCTCGAATATGAAGACGGTAAGTAGCTTTATCTTGACCTGCCCCTGCTCAAAGTGAGCAGAGCAATGTTGTGGATGAAGAAGCAGTTGAAGAGCAGATAGCAGATGAAGCTGCAATAGAGGAAGACAACTCTCAAGGTGGCGTAGCTGATAAGGCTAGACCATATGCGAATGAGTAGGCAGGTGAGGCCGTTGAGTAGATGGTGCTGGTTGGCTGCTTTGTTATGGAATTTTCAGTTGCCTTTCAAACTTCAATTCTCATTATATCTTGTAAGTGTACGTCCGAAGACATAGCACTTAAAAGAGATTCCATTGAGTTTGTACTTGTGAAGTAGCTTGCCCACAATGGAGGTAAGGCTCGTTGCCTGTGTACGTATGTCAGGGACATGACGTTTGAAAAGACTCCTTGAAGTTTGTACTCGAGGAGTAGCTTGTCTTCAGTGGAGGTGAGGCTTGTCGCCTGCGAGTATATGTCGGGGACATAATACTCGAAAAAGACTCCATTGAGTTTGTGCTTCAAAGAGCAGCTTGTCTGCAATGGAGATGAGGCTTGTTGCCTGTGAGCGTATGTCAGGGACATAATGCTCGAAAAAGACTCCATTGAGTTTGTGCTTCGTGAAGCAGCCTGTCTGCAATGGAGATGAGGCTTGTCGCCTACGAGCGTATGTCAGGGACACAATGCTAAAAAAAAAGACTCCATTGAGTTTGTGCTTCGTGAAGCAGCCTGTGTGCAATGGAGATGAGGCTTGTCGCCTGCGAGGGTATGTCAGGGACACAATGCTAAAAAAAAAGCCTCCATTGAGTTTGTGCTTCGTGAAGCAGCCTGTGTGCAATGGAGATGAGGCTTGTCGCCTGCGAGCGTATGTCAGGGACACAATGCTCGAAAAAAGACTCCATTGAGTTTGTGCTTCGTGAAGCAGCCTGTCTGCAATGGAGATGAGGCTTGTTGCCTGTGAGCGTATGTCAGGGACATAATGCTCGAAAAAGACTCCATTGAGTTTGTGCTTCAATGAGCAGCTTGTCTGCAATGGAGATGAGGCTTGTTGCCTGTGAGCGTATGTCAGGGACATAATGCTCGAAAAAGCCCCCATTGAGTTTGTGCTTCGTGAAGCAGCCTGTGTGCAATGGAGATGAGGCTTGTCGCCTCCGAGCGGATGTCAGGGACACAATGCTAAAAAAAAAGCCTCCATTGAGTTTGTGCTTCGTGAAGCAGCCTGTCTGCAATGGAGATGAGGCTTGTCGCCTACGAGCGTATGTCAGGGACACAATGCTCGAAAAAGACTCCATTAAGTTCGTGCTTCGCGAAGCAGCTTGTCTGCAATGGAGATGAAGGAGGCCCGTCGCCTACTTGGAGTCGAGCTGGTAAGCTGCAACTCGAACAATGGCCTTGTTGTTGTAAGATGCCAGCTACTGATGGTATGCTGCTGCTCGAACAATGGTCTTCTTGCTATGGTAAGATGTGAGCTGCTGCTGGTAAGTTGCAACTCGAACAATGGCCTTCTTATTGTAGCAAGATGTGAGCTACTGTTAGTAAGCTGTAACTCGAATAATGGCATTCTTATTGTAGCAAGATGTGAGCTGTTACTGGTAAGCTGCAACTCGAACAATGACCTTTCCTCGTTCCTCTTCGAGCATATCAAGGTTGACTTTCATCTGCTTGCAGTTTTGGTCAAGACTGCCCACCTCGATGCTAATGGAAGGGACTGTGATGTGTGGGGGAATGATTGCTTCTGTTCCCATAGGCCAGGGAAAATGGTCTCTTCGATTGATCTCCCTTTGGTTGTGCGATAAGCCCATAGGACTCCTGGCAGCTCGTCGACCCATTTTCCTTCTGCGCCTTCCAGTCTTTTCTTTAGGCAGTCCAACACTATCTTGTTGGATGCCTCTGCTTGGCCATTGCCTTGCGGGTATCGGGGTGTTGACAAGTGTTGTTTGATGCCATACTTCGCAAAGAATGCGGTGATCTACCTGCCCACGAACTGTGTACCATTGTCGATGACTATCGATTACGGGCAACCGAATCTGCAAATAATGTTCTTCCAGATCAAACCGTTCAACATC